TAAAGTAAATTAAACATATTTTAGCTTACCAGTAATTTTAATAATTTATAATTTGGCAGCATTCTATGAATATCCTTATAAATAAGGGAAAGGCTTTAATCGCAGATTTCGGGTTATCAAAAGATATTAATGACGATAATTCACATTCAATTATGAAATGTGTGGTTTCTTACACTGATCCAAAATATCTTTTGAGTAATGGCAAAGTTAAACGTAACAAACAATCGGACATCTATAGTCTGGGTATATTACTCTGGGAACTCACAAGTGGAATCCCTCCATATTATGGATTAAATATTTACGGTGTTATTCCTGAACTTATAGCTAACAAGAGACCTAAAATTGTTAATGATACTCCTTCAGGCTACTGTGATCTTTTTAGTAGATGCTGGTCCTCTAATCCAGAAGATCGTCCCTCATTAGATGCTATTTTAAGCCAACTCGAAAATCTGTCAACAGAACCTATCAAAACAATAACAAATCATATTGTAATTCGCGATAAAAACAATATTAATCAAGATAAATCTATTGACAATTCATCTGAAAATGAAAGTTGAATAATAATGATAACGTGTGAATTTTCTTCTTTATTATATCTCTAAATGCTTCACCTTCAACTATGTATTAAAATTACTGGTAAGCTAAAATATGTTTAATTTACTTTAATATTTTACAATTATATTATCAGTAGCTTGTTTTTTTAAACAATTACATTCAATCAATGATCATAAAAAGCTCATAGGACTCACTTGTAAATAAAATTTTTCTAATAAAGATTACTTTAATCTCATACTAATTTTTTTCTGCAGTTTTACTAGTCGCAAATCCTTCTAATTATGTTATTTGCTCGCGACATATAAGAACCGTAGAAATCTGAAAAGTGGTTGTAATTTTAGTCATGTAAATTTATTTAATATTCTTGATAATTGTTAATAAATATTCTTGATAATTGTTAATAAATATTCTTGATAATTGTTAATAAATATGCTTCGTAATTGTTAATTAACAATGTAAATTCGCTTGTAATCCTAGTTCTTCAATGAAATTGCAAGAATTTGAATTTAAAATGTTAGTACTGCAGAAATATGAAAAATAGTTAGAAATTTAGTAAATGTGAACTTATTTAGTATGTTTTTGACAACTGGCTATTAAACATTCTAAACTCTATTTCGCTCATGCCTCTTCAGTTAATTAAATTGCAAGCTCTTGTGTTTAATTAAATATTTAGTCTGAGTATTTCATTTACATTATTACTTTACTCAGTAGAAAAATCGAAGAATATATTATACCTGGGTATCGTGGTTCACACAGTATACGCAGTAAAAAATTGTTCGAATGCACTGTTTATACACTATAGTAATTTTAAAAATGTTTTAGTCTTACAGTAAAATCAAAAAGAATATATTCTTTGTTATGGATATTATTTGAAATATTTTAAGCAATTTTGAATTAGTATGCTATGTAAGATTATCTTGTAAAATATTATCACGGTAAAGTTGAAAAAAATATATTCTTTGTTATAGAAATCCGAAATATTTTAGGCAGTTTTGATTTAGTCTGATATGTAAGATTTTGAGATTGTTTTTTAAAAACTTACTATTGAGCGTGCTGAAATATTAACAAGTATAAAATATATTTTATTTCAATACATTTATTTCAGTTTTGAGTTAATACATATAACATGGTTTAAATTTACTTCTTTCTAAAAATTGTTTTTTTTTAAAAATCAAATAGAGTCAATTGTCTTAATCTTATCTCTTTCCATTTGACCATATCTCATACCTACGTACCATATCTAAATTAAAATTCTACCACTTATTAGTTTTATATTTTATATCAGAATATATGTCAAATATCGTGCTTCACTAACATATTTGTCACGAAATGTACGGGTTTTTTTTTAATAGCATATTCATTCTTTTTTAAAATTATCACCCCAGCCACTTTCTTGCTTTTCCAATTACCTTCTTCATTTTACTTTCTATGCTTCCTTTTCTTACTTTCATTCACCCAATTTATGCATTTAATACAGGCACTTGTATTAGCTTCAAATAAATTTAACGAACACATTTTGATACTTAACTACGTAAAATAAATAGATAAATAAATGAATCAATTATCTGTTTTTTATATTAGTTACAGGTATCGAAATAATTACAGAAATTGTTATATTAGTATAAAAATTTCAATAAATTTCAATAAAGAAATTCCAATGTGGCAAGTTGACAAACTCTATTCGTTATATTCCTAACAAAATAAAGCTTTTGATTTTCCTTTAACCTAGAGATGGGCATTCTGCATTATGTGCATTACATTATGCAAAACATAATGTCGCATAATGTAATGTAGACATTTTA